GGAGGCCTGGCTGGCCTAGGCAGGAGCTGATCCGAGCTTTGGTCCTCGGTTCGCGCTGACACGCTACATATCTTAAAGGCAGTTGGCACGATGGTTTCCTACTTAGCCTAAAATGCTAGTAGGGCGCTGTATAGTGGGGAAATGGCGAAAGAACGGAGTGAAACGGTCAAAATCCTGCGAAGAAAAAGCCTCCGTTCTCAGTGACTTGTAAATCGATTTCGGACGAGTTTCCCGTACGCATCTTGCCAATCACCGCTACCGAAGATACGGCTGCATATGTGTACCCATATATGCATGCAGCATCACGGCCGCTTCATACCAATCCCTTCGCTTCATAATTTGCTCAGCAAATGAATGAATACGAGCGTCAGAAACGGTCGTCCGTTTGTGGGCGGGCGGGCAAGGAAGGCGTTTGGGACGTAAAGTTGTTGCTCAATAGGGCGTTATAGAGGTACCCTCCTTGGAAAAGGCTTCACGCAGCGCCTGTCCGAGGTCACGGAATTCTGTTAAGCCAGTTGTACAAATCCTACACCTGTATAGCGATTTATCGTGCCAACTGCCTTTAAGTGCTCCCGATTCCCCCTTCAGAAATGCTTCACATACCTTCTTTAACGTACGTTCCATCCATGCGAGCCGAGGTTCCTGACACCTTTGCAGGCTGTCGTAGAATTCTCTGGTGCTAGGATCGTCATCTTCCAGGTCGGCTGTAATGCTATATCCGTTTTCGCTGGGCCTGCCAACAGGTTTGGCGGCGCCAGGCCGGTTTTCTACTCGCTTGCATGCTTCAAAATTGGTAAACGAGCTGACGCTGCGCCTAAACCAAACCCCTGGCACGCCTCAATGATTTTAGCCAAAACGACTGTATCAAGTATTGGTAGAGTAGCAATCAAAAGGGGCGAGGTTCATCCCAGCACCCAGATGAAGATTTGAAAAGCTTCGCATCATCATCCCGATTTTTCGGAGGTAGAAAAGAATAGGTACGAGTCAGCTGATTAAAAGTTCGCTTATTCAGCCAACGTGCTGGAAGCAAGGTACAGCATTATAGACCAGCGGGTCGTATCTGGTCGCTGGGAGGGGGTCGTACCAAAGGAGGGAATTTGTGAGGGGCCGTACTGACACCGCCATTTCACCCATCACGATGTTTATCCTGGGAGTGAGAAATCGCGAAACGTTCGTCCACTTATCATCACACCATTGTATACTCGAAATCCCTGAGATCGGGTAGGCGGAGCATTCGAACACTGTAAGGAACTGGTTACTAGTGGAATATTCCAGTCTGGGACAACTGTCATCTTGTTCTGTGTTGGACAGAGACACGACAACGATTGTGTCGAGATGAAAATATCGCATCAGAAGCGTAGACGCCTTAAGGGTAAGTTGAAACATGCGGCCACGCCTACCCGATCTCAGGGATCTCGAGTGTAGGTGGTGTCACTTGCGCGGCAGTCGCACCAACACGTGCATCGACCTGGATCTAAGTCGAGACATTGCCTTACACGTTCCAGAACAATTTCAACGAGTATTTGCTTTTGTTAAAAGGCAACAAATGACGTTTACCGCAATCCCAGGCTCCTTCTGGAATAAGTGGGGTGCTCACAGCTCGCGGCCTTATTTGAACAGCCGTCGCCTGAAAGCAGAAACGCAATAGAATTCTAGAATGGTAGAGCTACTTTTGTGCTTTCCTCTACTTTCTCATATTCAGTGTTTTGCGTTTTTCACGGGCACGAGACACGGAGACCTGATCCTCATTGCGTATATCTGGGGAAAAGAATTCGATTAAAAATACTATAGTGCTACCTTCTTACGACCCCTGTTCCACGAGATTTAGGTTGCCTACCGACCTTCTTGTGGCCCCTTAATTGCTTTATGGGCTCTCGTGTACTTTTTAGCCTGTGCTTTAGTTTTTGGTGATAATTCAGGAGTCGCTCGAGCTTTTTTTGGTGGAACAGACGGTGGCCGCTTCGGTTTCACTCTGCAACGACACATCGTTACTCTGGAATATTTTTCTTAAGTCCTACAGCCCTTACATTAAGATAAATATACCCGCATTACTGTCAGCCTCCTATAGCAGTCGACGCCTTTGCAGAGCTTCATCGCAACCTCCACCTTCGCCCTGTAAGGACATAGGTCACTGCACCACGGAGCTACGAAGCTGTAGACTACATCGGCATAATATTAAACGGGCGCAAGCGGAAGACCCGCCACCCCACCCGGCGACCCGCCGTTGAACACACCATGGATGTGTCAATACCCATCTCCATTTCCCTCACCCGGACGCATCCTTTTGTTTCCAGATGGACCTATTCTGCCGATCCAAATATTCCACCGATTCCCCCACCCCAACTCTCTAATGCAGACATACCCCCTACCACCCGCGCCGGAACCCCCGACCCCCCCCCCCCCCCCCGACACGCGCCCCCCGCGCCCCCGCACACCCCCCCCACGCCCGCGCCAAAACCCGCGGATACGCTCTCACAAGACAGGCTCAGAAAACACATACATCGTAGGAAAGTGGTAGAAACAGATGAAATTGCTGATTTCGGTTTGAAAAGTGACGAAATGATTCAGAGGTCCTGGCACAACGGCTGTCCGGAATGTGTGAAAGGCAGTCAGCACGATGATTGTAGGCGGGCGGTTGCTAACGTCATTTGTGGAAGGGTCGCGAGAAGGTGTTTGGCCACACCCCATTCAGCCTTTCCACCAATGACGATGGCGGCAACCGCCCACCACAGCTATCGTGACAACTGCCTTTAAGTTGAAAACCCCATGGTTCTATTGAAATTACCGAAACTATGGAATGCTACAAGAAGCTTCCTCATAGTTTGCAACACCATCGCTCAAAAAGTCACACACAGGATGAAATTCAATAAAAATATTTTGTTTCTAACATCCCTTATCAGCTCTCATCAGCTGTTATCACTTCCTGTCATCCAGCAATAATCTTCTCGCCTCATCGCCTTCTCGGAACCACTTCTCGGAACCAACGCTCCCTTTTAGGCTCAGTTCGGCTGGGAAACAGGGAGATTTCCTACTTTCGCTGCTCCTCAGTCGTGTTGAGCCATCAAGAAGATATTGAAGAAATCTTGTGAAGTCATGAAGTGATATCATTTGAAGCGTGTAGGGAATATTTGTCATTTTTTTATAAAGCAATCAACACGACAATGAGAAGCAGCGAAAGAAAAATATGTCCCTCCCCTCCTTGCCGATCTGCTCTCATTTCTGCTTTAACGTGGTATGAGATGCGTGAGTCGGCTTGTGGCATGATCTCTGAGGTGCGTTCATAGTTTGTGGCAGCGTACGCTAGCGTTTCCAGCGTTCGGCGACGGCAGCGACAAAGGCGGCCGCGGAAAGGATAGATATTGATCTAGCGTCTGCCAGCGTTTCACCAGCGTTTGCCGGCGGCGAGGACTAGAGAGTATAGGACAGTAGCGAACGGCTCTATCAGGCGTCGTAGACTTGCGGCGTGTGCAACCGCACCGCACTACTAGACAATACCGTACACAAAATTGGTTCTTCTGTGGTTTGGCTGTTGGAACGGAATGTTTATTACATTGTCGCACCGGAATTGAACTGAGTTATGAAAACGCTCGTCTTTTACAAATACAATATCCTTTTTTAGGGCTGATCTGTTGGAAATTGTTCCGTTTGAGAATTTTTAGTATTTATGATCGTTCTCTGGACGAATGTACGACCGACACATGCATGCTCATCCTTATGAAAAATCCTAGATGATCACGTTGTTTTATCCTTTACAATTATGCATTATGCAGTTCAACCATTGCATTATGCAATTCAACCAATTTAGTGTACGGTATTGTCTAGTAGTGCGGTGCGGTTGCACACGCCGCAATTCCACGACGCCTGAACGATCCGTTCTCGTACTCTTCCATATTCTCTGATCCCCGCCGCTGAAACGCTAGATCGATATCTATCCTTTCCTTGTCACTGCCGCTGTCGAACGCTGGAAACGCTAGTGCGCTGGCGTACGTTACCGCAAAGTATGAACGCAGCCTTATAACCTCGCGGAACAGTACAGAAAACGGCGACAATTGAGGATATCCCAAAAGGCCCGAAATTTTTTGAAGGATATATTCTCCTTTGAAAGAATTACCGCGGCGCCTTTATTGCCCGTTTGCAGCAGCTGCGGTGTGACCCGCTTAGGTGGTGGCGGTTTGAGCTCTTCTTTCAAATCATCCATTGAGCCTTCATCAGGTGGGGTTACCGAGACTTCCTTGCTAAAATGAAGTTTACAGTCAGTTCAGCACAATAAGATAGATTCGTAGGAATGAAGGCCGAGTATGTCTCTCACAATTTGTCAGATCCACGCTTCTCAGACTCGCATGTCCACTCCAAGTCCTGTGGAAAACTTATTTAAATCAACGAGAAATTTGGCGCGTTCAACAAAGCATTCGAAAGTAGAGCAAATACAGGGGGGGCAATAAAAAAAGACACTTTGGCCGAGTCACATATCAGTAAAGTTTACGCAGCCCAGACAGAAGACGTGGATAGAGGGGCGGAAGATACCCAAGATGTTCCTCGATAAGCAGGAGCAGGCTCTCGTCCATCACCTTCATGTACACCAAAATATGAAGCCATCTCCAATCGCAGCCGGACTGGAGAAGGCCTATGGAATTCACGTCACCTCCAAACAGCTGCGAAACTTCTTGTATGGAGTCATTAATGGACAGTGTCGTGACTTCTGCGCGACTTCTTCTCACGGTCCGTCTTTACGTCCATTGCGCAGTTCTGCACGCGCAACTGTCAGTCGAACTGGAATGTTTAAAGGACCGTCTTCGCAGTCCGCACTGGGGTCTCACCGCGCAATAGTGTCTTCGCTGACTATTCGACGCAGCTTCACATTTTTGGGTCCGCGAGCAATTTTGGGGTGACCTTTGTTCCGCAATCTGTACATCACCTACTACCTTCCAACCACGAGCCTGAGGCTCGACCTTGCCCGAGCTGGCCCTCGCCTGGGCAGTTGCACCTGTGGCATTTCTACCATGCGCACCTTCCCATGTCCTATGTTCGAGGATCGTCACAAATGGGCCCGCAAGGAATGGGATTGCAGGCAGTTGGAGAGCCTTCATGGCTCCGACTAACAGGCAGCTGGCACTTAGGCTTAGGTTTTATGTTTGTTTTTTTATGGTGTTTTCATCGTGATTTGTTGCATAAGTTAACCTTGCCGTTTTCCTTTGTTTTTCTTTTACATTCACATGTTTAACGCATACCCTATTTTGATTGATGTTTGTGTAGTAGCGTGGCCGATTCTAGATGTCTAGTTAAGCCCCATCAGTGTGTAACGCGCAGGCTCAGTATTGTTGCAGCTCTAACGAGATGAACTGTAGGACTATGGAGCCTAGGCCCATAGTCCTACAGTTCATCTCGTCAAGTCCCTTAGGGAGCGGCACGTGAGCGCAGAGGCTGAATGAGCCGCGTGGCATAGATACTATTAGAGCAGGAGACCCCCCCTTTTGACCTTGTCAGCACGAGAAACCTCCTCTGGCACTGATGCGCAGTACCCACCAGGGAAAACGAGAGCCGCGCGTAGCGACAGACAGCTACCTGGGAGACCGGCACTCTCAATCTGGAAGACCTCCAACATCGAGCAGCTCCGACAACGTCGC